GAGGTGTAGTGAACTAGGCCTCTGACCTCAATCTGTCTCTGAAGACCTTCAGGGGACAGGAACTGTTATTTCATTGATTTGAATCCAGAAATACAAATAATCTCATCAAGAGACTATTTAATTGTATCCTGAATTAATCAATTGAAAGAACACACTTCTTTTTACATTATCATTACTATTTTAAGATATCTTGATAATCAAAAGTGTGTTTAGTTCATACCATTTCTAAATGTTGAAGTGAACCACTCATTTAAACCAACTGTGAAACAGTATTAATGATTTTTAAACCTCATCAGATTTTGATCATACAGTTAAATGCCTATTTACGAAGTAAGTGTGCATTTAGTCTTCTGTCTGAATTAAGGTAGTGGACCTGATGTCGGTCGAAAATCAGAGACAAACAGAGACGAGTTATTAGAACGAAGTGTCTTGTTTTTAAAACTCGCAGACAGTAAATAACTTCAACTGGCACCTGCGTTGTCTCACCTCATCATAATATTTCTCCGTCTGTACTGACCGTTTTTAAAACATTCCTGCTGTCTCTTGACTTCTAGTGACCCTCTAGCATCACTAGAACCACACCCTGCTGGTTGTTTCAACCAATCAGGAAGTACCACGTAACAGGAAGTGGATACCCCTTTAAAAGGAACACTTCTTGGAACTATTCAGGGAGTCCTGGAACTCTGTTCAGTCCTAGAGTTCAGTCCTGGAACTCAGTCGGAGTCTCAGTCTTAGTCTTTTCCAGTCAAGCTGGAACTTTCAGTCAGAGATGAGACTCAAGTAAGTAGCGGATGGATTTGACCATGTGCCAAAGGTCTCTCCAGTCCAGCGTTGTCAGCCTGCCTCGGCTGTGACTCAACCCGAGCAGTAAATGCTCCACTTCTAAGGAAGCTTATTTGGTGGAACCGAGTACTTTGTCACAATTTCTGATGACCCCCAGCTACTTTAACCGGAGACGCTGGAAAGGGAGCGTACTAATGGACTTCTGTTCCGGAGTGGAGGTATCCCCCATCTCAGGTAACAAGCCGTTGACGTCCTGAAGTGTACTGGAAAGCTGAGCTGGATGTCGGAGGAAGGGTGCAATGTTCTGGTTCCACACATAACGTTCATCCCTCTAAAACTTTCTCCTTAAATCTATTTTCTCTGTTAACTTTTCTATTCGCCAGTAATCAAGCCTGATGCCTTCAGAGGTGAATCGGCCTCAATCAGTAATGTTCTGTTGTCTTGTTAGTAAAGCTTGCCAAGTTTATTATTCAGAAACAGATCAGCAAATCAATGTGTACATGTTTTGATGTTAAATTTTGATTCTGTTAAATAAATGACCGCATTTATTCTGATG